GGGGGGGGTTGGGGGGGTTGGGGTGGTAGGGGTGGGGTCCTGGTGGTAGGGGGTGGATGAGGATTGAGGCAGCTTACATTCTGACATTTAAATGTGGAATAACCCAGTCACACTCAGGGCGCACTTTTGCTGCCAATAAATTTCTGTGAATTTGCATTTGCCGTCCAAAGTGGACCCAAGAATAGTTACCTCACTGTCCCGTAATGAAATAGTTATTATACATGTACTTTTATTTCAAGTTGAGTATGGTCTTCTGATCTCACATCATTAGCTCATCATATAAACTGCCATCTCTGTGGTTTTAGACCAGTGTGTAATGGGCTCTTCTCTTTATAAGCACATCGCACCAAAGGATGTGTAAACCAAATTAGGCCATCTGCATACATAGGCAGGGCTCACGTTTTAAACCACCATGTACACTCAGAATCGCCTGTGATGTTTATGCATACTAATTCTCCATTTGTTTGGTAGAAGCATGCAGAGGCAGACTGTATGTTGACCTTGAAATTGACCTGTTGTGGTTGTAAATATCAGTACGTGGGCATGTCCCAGAGTGCTGAAAAACAGTATTTGTGGAGTTTGGCTGTATATTGGAAGTTGGACACTACATCTTGTCTATTGCAGAAAATTAAACCTTTCGGCCAAACACTGTTGTTAGCGAGTGGTTACTGCGTTGTGTGTTATTCACCTGTAGCATTTCCCCTGGACAGGGGACTTGTTACAATGTTGGCAGCAGATGCCCGTATGCACGTCCAGTCTCTCAGCCCGGGTGCGCTGCAGCGAGGCGTTGCGGTACTCGGCTTGCAGCTGCTCCAGCTGGCCGAAGTCCTCACGGCACAGGGGGCAGCGGATCAAAGTCTCCCCCACCGAGCGCTGATGCTCTGCCCACACCTTCATGCACTTGATGTGGATGCTCTTGGCGCAGCCATACCTAGATATACATGTACCAACAACCATTATAATAAGGGAATGCAAGTGACAACAGGGCAGTGTCAAAGTAGAATGTTTAACCACTCCCTGCCGGGCGACCCGTTTTCTAGTACATAAGCTTTTTTGGGGGAGCCGGGAGTTGGGCCTTATAACAAAAGACTGTGCTCAGCACAAAAGACTGAGCGGTTGGGCATTACCGATATTTTTTCACTCTCAATAGTGGAGTTAATCCAGCCTTTTCTGAAACAGTATACCACGGTTGGAGGCATTTAGAGCGAGCGGATTACCACCAGGGACAAAAGCTCTCCACCACCGCAGCAAAGAACCACACATTACCGCTGCACGCTAATCTGGCCCCTATTGAAAAGAGGTCAGCAGTGCACTGTGCCGGTATCGGGAACAAAAGAATCTTACGTAACACCGCACAATCTGGGCTCTTTTTCCAAGGCTGCAGGCCTGGCTGAAATATTCAAAAGTCAATGAAGGTTAACTGTCAACTTTAGAGTAATGCCCAAAGAGTCCTTCACGTAGGCATAAACAACCATTAAATGAAATGGTGAATTTTTGAAGAATTTTAAAAACGGAAAATCTTGAAAAGGGCCCAGCATCTTGTCTTGCTCAAGAAAAATCCATCCCGCAGCATGTGGTTAAAACTGGCTCCAGACTGAAGGTGAGGTTTGTTATTGCCGTCAGGCCCTGAGCCATCACGTACATGGTACGTGATTTTTCACAGTACGCTGGAGTAAAGTGAGATTTCAACTCTATGAAATGAGGACTCATGGGCTGTCATATATATTAAGCAGGCTCACATGATGACGAGGATTGTCACATATGGATGTTAGAGCCCTAAATAGGAGTCAAAATTTCATATGAAACCCGGAAAGTGTTAACGGCCAATTAGTACTTTTATCATCAGTTAAAAAACACCCACATGGCAAACTCCAACCAGTGGGAATGGATAAATTTAACACGTAAAAGTGTACATGTACACGTACCTATCCATTGCTACGCCATTATTCCCTAGCTCATTGGGCCCGAAATTATTCTTAACCTGTCTAAACTCCCTTGGGATTCAAATGCACAGTTTGATGCTGCCATTGCAGATCAAAACTTCTAGGCAAAGACAACAGCAGCAAAAACGGCTTCAAGGAATTCAACAGGCAATCCAACCTGCAGTAAGTCACAGCCTCCCTTGCATTCAACAGCTCCTCCTGACAGATGGGGCAAACGTCGTCTTCGGTGATCTCGCGCTGGGACAACACCTCCCGCCCGTCGGCCGACAAGGGGGCAGCACCCGGGGCCACCTTGCGGCTGGATGTGGCTCGCTCCCGGTGTGCTGCACCCCCTTGCCGGCTCCCGCTGTTGATGCCGCGGAGTATTTCATTGATTTCACGCTCAACGAGACCCAGCTGGAAGGAAACTGTTGATTTACAGCAAACCAAAATTAAATCGCTGGTTAAACAAACACTAACAAAACCGACAACCGACATTTACACCACACCTCATCAAAAATACAAACCCTTAACAATTGTTATTACCCTGGATCAGCAAGCCCAACATTCTTAGGACATTCTTAATTCCTCATTTATCTACGTGGTACCTTGTCCCAGAATTGTCAAAGCAGGAATATCAAAACTCACTATTGTGCCCTCCACTTACTTGGATTTTGTCTAGGGACCCTGAATTTTTTGAGCAGCACCCTGAACAGGAAGAGGGTAAGAGAATTATGCATAAGTTAACAAATGCAACTGCAATGAAGTTAAGAGGTCAAAGGTAATAAGGAACAGTGCACAATAAGTAAATCCATAAAGTTACACTGCATCATGCTCAGGATATGATGCATGCATGCAACAGAAGGATATATATATGTACATGTCATTCAACTGGAGAATAAACTTGAATCTTCATGTACATCATGCAAGTACCTCTCCTAATAAGGTAAATTTGCACAAGACTATAAACCTTAATAAACAACACGAAAACAGCACTATCTATAAAATACGATGGTGTGGTAGCCATCTTGCCCGGCAGTTCTTTTGCTCCACAGGGATACATGCTTTGTGCATACCCTGTGGAACAAAAGTACTGACCTGCAAGATGGAAGCCTTGCAAACCCTCTACATGCTGAGCGGCTGTTAAGTAACAACTGGGTGTAAATTTCCTTTCTCCATTATTTGAGCAATCCTAGCTCCATTTGTTTCACCTGCATATTTTCCCCCCCTTAGCATGGAATCAACTTATGAAAGATACCAACAGTGCAACACAATGTTTCCACATCATCTTCAATCTTACCAGCATATGTGCTTGCAGAGATCTCTCTCCTTTTGAAACACGCTACAGGTGCAGCTGTGAGGGTCGCCCAGAAAGACCTCGGGAAAGAGAACACCAAGAAGTTTACAGCAGCCCACTCATGCATTGTATGCACAATAAAAAATGGCCCAATGTCAGGTTCTAACACGAGCAGATATTCCGGTTTGCCTCATTCAACTTAGGCCCTGCAAAAAATGTACGGCAGTGTTTCTTGTTAACTTCACTAGTCCAGAAAATGGCACAGAGCCTACGCGACACGAAACACCGTCAGAATGGGGCCAGTCACGTTAGCAGTGCTTCCCCAAAGGTTATGAAATTTCTGCTATTGTTTCAATGCCCAAACACGTCTGACAGGTGTGAATAAGCACGCAGGGTGCAGTTTCATGAAGAATCGAACTTGTTATTCACTCCTGCAGACAATCTTGGACGGAACGAATAATTTGCCTGTCGGTTTTGGCATTCAGTTGGTCACTGATTTTATTGACAAACAGAAATCAGTCCCTGCTCTCAATTCAATGATGGCCTCCAAGCTGATGCACAAGAACAGGTTGTGGAGTGCCCAAAACATGGCAAAATGGAAAACTGTGAACGTGAGGATAATTTACTGATCCCCTTTACCGAGTTTTGTGCCACATCTTTTTTATTACGGAAACAAAAATTTACAAAAGGTAGCGCTCCCAGAGACTTCCTTTTTGTCTTACATGTAGTTCTTCTTGTCTTTTTGTGAGTTGCATTTGAACATGCAACCTGTATTCCAAATGCAAACATTCATCCAACGCAGCCAGAGTATTTACAGTGACTTGACAACTTAGAATTCTTGGAAAAAACTGATGTGGCCATGTAGTATTAATGTCTGTAGAACTGTAAAAGTGGAAACGAAATCGTAGATACATGTATCCTATGGAGCAGGGTTTCATCTAGTACGCTTGAAATACATGTCTCTGCCAGTCCCCTCTCAGTTAAGGTTAATGCCTGTCCTGTGTCATGGAAAATCTTGAGGCCATATTTCTTTTTCAACCACAATATTGGAAGGAAATGTGAAGACTGCTTCACCACTGTTATAGCTTATGTAAAAATGGGGGCTTTTAAATTTTGAACTGGTAAAAATGTCTTTCCCAAATTGTTTTTACTAGATGAGACATGGCTACAGGATCGACCGATAGCTCAGGGTAATGAACCAGTCGTCAGATTGACCAATCATGCAAGGAATTTGCAACAAGCAGAGACTTTGACCCAGCGCGGGACACAAGACTTGGGCACAACCCTTTTTTCCGGGGGGGTCCTTCAATTCACCTTCACTTTCTTGGCCTCGCCTTCTTCTTTCAGCAGAAATCCCGTGGGGCCCGTCTCCCGCAGGATGTAGATGGTTGCCGACAGGGCCTGGTCCTGATGCCAGGAGGCAGCGTCACTGACAGTACGTCGCCATGCAACGCTCCGAGCCATCAAGGCAGTGAAGTCTGTCTACTCAGACTTGCTTTATGACATTGTGCTCATACTCGGTCTGTAAATCAGGCCAGGATTGATTAAAAACCATGTATTTTATCCCTCAACATTTAATTCTTTTATTAAGGGCTTCAGGCTGAGTTCCAAATCAGATTTCTTATTTTATATTGATTTTTTTTTTACCAGTGAACTATTTGCTTAAACTAAGACACTTGCTCAAATTCGTTAATTTAAATTACTGTCATTTATAACCATGATAACCATTCTTTTTCATAATACATACTGTACATGAAAAATACATACTACATAGGCCTGTGTTTGGCATGATCAGTTGATCTCAAGACAGAATAGGGGCATACAGTGAGTGAGGCGCTGTTCATTTTTTTCAAAATGTGATTAAAATTTGTCTTTCTCAGCATGCTGTAGGCTCTTCTAGGCGTATTTAATATTTACGATTTCAAAATGTTTGAAATTTATATTGAAGTCAGCATTTAAGTCGTGGAAATAAGAACACAAATTTTACAAAATTACGATTGCTTGATCTCTTCACAATCACTCAGTCTTGTTGTATATAACCATGGTAACTTTAGTTTTATTGCCTACAACTTACAAGTATGTAGGATGATCTATCAACAATTTCACCTCCTGCTTTTAGTTTTTCTTTCCAATTCTTGGTTGAGGAAGATGGTTTCAAAAAGGAAGGTAAACTGGGAGATTTCATACAGGGTCAACTGGTAACGCAAGGCAATCACGCAATAATGACTGACCATGATGACCAAATGCGCACAACACACACGAAGGCCTAGGCCACGCCTAGAGGCCCTACCTATATGTACATGACCTAGCTAGCTACATGTAGGTCTACATATTAATCATGGTAATTCTCTACACTGCCAGCTACAGATAATGTGACCTGTTAACAACATGCAAACTGAATAACAATTAGGCCTAACTTAATAAGTAAACATGTTGCTAAACATGATAAGATTAAGAATCAACATCATTGAACATGATCGGCTGAAAATTTAGTGAGCAGTTCTCTTTTTTTGGCAGATCAAATACAACAGGGAGACAGATTACCTCTATGAACAAAGTAAAGCAGATTCAAGTACTTCTTCTATCAAAGAAGGGTTAAGAAATTGTGAAAGTTACTCAGAATTTCTTTACTCAAGTGCTCCAAAAACTTCTAGATAGCGTCCCGTTTCTATAGCACTGCCACCAGTCTGGTAGAATCCCCGATATATTCCCAAAGCCCGACTTTGTACCACTAATGAATAAGTTGTATTCACGCATGAACGCGACACCAGACTATTTCAGTGGCGCCATCTGGCCACAAGAGGGCGATATTTAGGAAAAGCAACCGTCGTCTTTGGGTGCAGAATTGCTGGTTAAAAGCATAAAAAGTGCCCCCTGCAGTATCTTTTGAAAAGGAGATTGTTTGGCCCCGAAAATGGTGAGATTGTGTAAATCGTTGCCAGGATCAACTCCCTGGGTCTTTGAGCTTTTATATGAGAGCAGAATGGCTAAAAACTTTTTAAAAAATGGTCCTAAGTGCCCGAGAAATTTGAGGGTTGCCACTTGAAAAATGGCTGCAATCAGACTTCGGAAAGATCACTTTTCGGGGGGGAGGTTGTTTTGTGGGAATAAAAGATATTGAAATATTAGGAACCAGACATAAGTTTGATTTATGTTTCAGAAATCTCAGGGATGTAGGTATGCATGTTGTTGGGCCCTGAACAGTGCTGATTATTACACTGTTTTCAATACGGGCGATTCACAATAGAGCGCCTCCAAGAGTTTGCAACGCGTTGGCCAATCACAATGTGCAAAATCTGTCGACCCTTTCCAAATGCGCATTGAGTCGACAGCTAGATTTCACGCATTGTGATTGGTCAACGCGTTGCAAACTCTTGGAGGCGCGTCTTTATTGAGCTTGAATTAGTGGACTCTACCCCCACAGGTTGCACTACACCAAATACGCGCCCACACACAGAAAATAGTGAAAATCAGACCGAAATAGCGCCGCCTGTTGACTCTCAGGGAGAGGCTGGCCTCTGTTTTTTCACTGGAAATTCAAGATTAAGACCAGAAATTCACTTCCCGTGTATGTTATTATCCCAATTAGCCACGCGATTTTTTTATTTGCGTCTCCCCGAAGGTACCCCCCCCCCACATGCCAAAATGGTAGTACATGTAAAACTATGCGCTCAGCTCTGAATGTAGCCGCCCGCCTCTATCCAAAATATGACTGCAGGTGGGGCTTCCTGTGAAAGAAATACCCGGAACTGCAAACTTTTGCGGTCCCAAATTCGGGATTTATAGAAATGTCTCTATGATCCCTCCTAAATTATGGCATGTCTTATTGTAAAAACCCTATGGGGATCAGAAAATATTAATTAATGAGCTCGTGCGCAACGATTTTTGCCATGCATCCACAAACGGTCCAACTTCGTTCCCATGGGCACGATCTTGTTGCGCCATGTGGTTCCCACTATGCCTGGCGCGATCTAACCCTGCTGGTATTGTGTGATTTAATTTAAATATCGTACTATTTTTGAAATCGTGTTTACGAGCGACGTAGATTTACGCGTGTGTGACGTGCAAGAGAATACATGGGCGCCCTGTTTGGGCGCTGATCGACGAGCGAACAGCTGGTTCCTCGAATCCCAGGACCGATGGGACGGAAGTTGCTGCCACGCCTTCAGGTGACCGTGACTATGGAGTTTATCCAATCCTAGAGCGGCACGCTCTGAAACCTCTCTGGCATGGGAATGCTTGGGTGGTAGGGCTCTGGGCAGTCGATGCCTTCCTACGTTTATTCTGATGCTCTGCAGCTTGGTGTTTTCAAAGGCCTTGGCCCCTTTCTTTGTCACTGCCCGCCGACCATCTCTGGCAAGGGTTTCCCAGCCCTTCTCCGGGATCAGTTGGCTGCGCTGAGCTGACGCTTGAATTGGTCTTTGAAGCATTTCGTGGAGCTCCTCCGTCACACTTGCCTTGGCATAGCTCTCCGTAGACCACCATGCACTTTGGGCATTCGCGTGTCCTCCATACGTGACAGGTGACCGGCCCAGCAGAGTTGTCTGGTCATAATGATGGCCTCTATGCTTGGGATGTTGGCTCGCTCAAGGACGTTGATGTTGGTCACATATCCTGTCACTTGATGCCCATGATGGATCGAAGACACCGTGTTGAACCGTTCCAGGAGCCGGGCCGCACTTGCAGGCTTCACATCCATAGGCCCTATAGGAGAGTGATGACGACTGCATCGCTATGAGGATTGTGAATGTATCGGTGAAACCAAAATTAGTTCGTCCAGTGAGACGTAAGATCTTTCTTGATAAAAAAAAAAGCCCGCTTTGATGAAATAGAGGAATGGCTCAAGAATTTTGACGAGAAGCTGACTACTAACTACATGGACTCAAAGTCTGTTGATGACCTTATGATTGAATTAAACCAAGTTATCCAGTGCAGAATTCTATGGACAGGTTTATTCCCTCAAAAATGACTTCTTCTACGTGGAAGTTACCTTGGATATACAATTCCATCAAGAAAGATATTTGTAAAAGGAAGCGTCTGTATAAAAAAGCTAAGAAACATAGTTCTACAGCAGCTTGGGATATCTTTTAAACAGCATCGCAGAAGACTGACCGAAAGATTAGGAGAGCCAACCAGGAGTACATTCATGATGTCATCGGTGGGAGTTTGGAGGGCAACAACACTAAACCGTTCTGGAATTTCATCAAGTCTAAAACGGCAGGAGGTGTTTGGTGTCTCCACGCTCTATTCACCTGATGGCACCAAAGTTTACTCTGCTAAAGACAAGGCTAATGTACTTAATGATCAATTTTATTCAGTTTGTACTGACGAGAATGTTGTCAATTTTCCAAGTATGATGGACTCTATAATCCATGACATACCAAACATCGTTATCAACAGTCAAGGTGTTGAAAAGCTATTGCAAGATATGAATCAAAATGAGGCTTCGGGTCCCGGCGCCATTCCTGCCAATATCTTGAAAAAATGTGCCTCTTCAATCGCTCCAGATTTTTAAAAAATCACTTGATTCTGGTTGCCTACCCGACGTTTGGCGTGATGCTAATGTGACTCCGCTATTCAAGAGAGGAGACAGATGTCAGCCTGTAAATTACAGGCCAATATCGTTGACATCGATCCCATGCAAGATTTTGGAACATATCCTGCATCATCGTATCATGAATCATTTTGATAAATACCGCATCTTAGTTGACGTTCAACGTGGTTTTTGCAAGGGACGTTCCTGCGACACTCATCCGCTCTTGTTGGTGACCTTTTAAAGATTTTGGATGACAAAGGCCAAGCGGACCTGATTGTTATGGATTTCAGCAAGGCGTTTGATTCAGTGCCTCACCGACGTCTCTTAATAAAACCCCAACACATGGGAATCAGAAACAACACATTGAAATGGATCGAATCTTTCCTTACAAATCGTCATCAACAGGTTGTGCTATAGGGCGTATCTTCAAAAAGACCTAAA